AGGGACAAAAGCGCCTTTGGCGAGAGCACTGAACCGAGATGGTCAGCGTGCTAGACATTGGAATGCTCGAGTTGGTAGACACCAACGGTGCATTGGACAGGAGTCCCTAGCGTGGTTCGGGCTGATCGTGGAGTGACACGTAACCCACTGAGCGATGCTCAGGTTTTGGAGGAATCGCCGCATGCCATGCGTGACATGGTCGGCCAAGGGCCGAGGCTTCGAGGGCGAGGCCCACGTGATGCACGTGGAGTGGCACGTAACCCACTGAGCGAAGCTCAAATTACCAGCCAGTCACTTCATGCCATTGATGGCGTAGTCGGACAGAGTCCGAGGCATCTTGAGCACGGCCCTTCAGATGCGCGTTGAGTAGCACGTTATCCACTGGACGAAGACTGCGGGGTTGGCAGTTCTTCGTCGGATGTTTTAGATAACATCGGAGCTCCAAAGGAGCCGAACGTGAGGCTGACACCGGACGACGCGGAGTGCGGGTTGACCCTGGTCTCACCGAGACATAGAAACTCTGTACAGAGGCGACGGCGGCGCCGTATGCTGGTTGCAAGACGTCGGGCGTCGGCCCTGATCCAGGTTGTGTCTACCGTAGACGACGGTACACAGATATACACCCTCGTCAACGGTATGACGGGGGAGGAAGATGGCGACGTCGGCCTGGAGGCTATGTTTGCAGTAAATGCTCATCTTGCGCTAGACGAGATGTCCCTTGAAAAGTTCGGCAGTGCCTTGAAGGCAGGCGATTTGACCGAAGTGGTCATTGTACGACCGAACGAGGAGATAAACTTGTCATTGCTTCTGGATGAAGCTGTCTTAGAAGACACCATGAGAGTACTGAACGCACGGAGTGGATCGTCGATCCTATGGAATCCCTTGGATCCGTAATATCCTTTGGTAAAGGAATATTATGATGTAGTCTCCAAAGACTCCCCGTCAGTCTTACCTCTGGACCGAGGTGTGTGTCATGAGATTGACCTGGTTCCGGGAGCCAAATACTGCGTAACACGCCAATGGCCCCTGCCCAAGGACAGTGCGACGTCATTTACGCCTTTTTCCGTGCAAAGCACGACGCATGGATGGTGCGTGAGAGTAAGTCTCCCCATTCGACACCCACGTTTTGTGTTCGGAAGCCAAAGGGCAAGTGGCGTATCGTTCATGCTTACATTAAGCTCAACGCGGCCACCATTCCGGCACAAACGCCAATTCCTAGAAAGGATGTTCATCAGAACATGGTAGAGTGTATGAAGTATTGTGCACTCGATTTGGTAGATGGATTCTATCAAATGCTCATGAGAGCGAGTGACTTTCCGCTGACAGCGGTAAGCACTCCAATCGTCATGCTCTGGGAGTGGCTGGTGATGCCCCAAGGGCTGTCAAATGCACCAGCGACAATTAATCGTCTTGTGGCGCAGTTGTTCAGGTCCCACAGGTCGTATGCACAGATATACTTTAGCGAAATTTTTGATTACAGTCGAGCGATGCACGGGAGGACGGATGAGGAGAACCACATCGTCCTTCTAAGAGCGGTGCTCGAATGCATGCTCACTAACAAACTGTATGCCAATGCAGACAAGTGCATCTTTAGCGCAGAAGAGATTTCCTTTTTAGGGTGCTTCATTGGGAAGCGTGGTCTTCGAGCGGATCTCGCTAAGGTCAAGGCCATTGTAGATTTGCCGGCATCAAAGAACCAAAAGGAATTGCGTAAGTGGCTTGGTCTTGCCAGTACTTGCACAAGTAAAGCGTAAACTACGCAGAAATGGCCCGGGCATTTTCCAACCTCCTCAAAACGGATGCGGAATGGTCTTGGCACGCCGAACATCAGGAGGCTTTTGACGGGGTCAAAAACAGCCTCCTGCATGCACCAATACTGGCGCTGCTAGAGACTGATCGTCCTTTCAGTGTCGTCTGTGACGCTTTGGATTTCGCCATCGGCTGTGTACTGCTGCATGCAGATCGCCGAGGGGCGAGATCGGGTGATCGCGCTCGAATCTCGGCAGCTCAAAGCTGCAGAGAAGAACTACACAATTCATGACAAGGGGCTACTTGCGATTAAGTATGCACTTGTCAAGTTCAGGGTCCACCTGCTCGGCTGCTAACAGTTTGTGATCTACAGATCATGCGTCATTACGCACTGCGACTCAGTCGCCCCACATCTCAAAGAGGATGGCTAGATGGCTATGCTTCTTTGTGAGATATAACTTTGAGGTGAAGTATAAGCCGGGAAAGCAGAATGCTTTGGCTGATGCGTTG